CTTTATGTCAAGGGAATATTGGCATAAGTTACAATGATTTTCAATCCATGACCATGGTATAAAGCACTCGGTTAAGTCATCTTTTTTTGATTTTTTTTTTGATTTTCTTTATTTTGTCGCTCAAGTTCTTCTGCTTTTTCTTTGTCAGTGCCCTCAAACTGCAAATTCTCAAAAGAGTTTGTAAATTCTTCAACATACTGTGCATTTACATGCTTTCCAAAAATCAAATCATGACTCCAAATATTGCAGAGAGCTTCTCTAGCATATTTAAAATTTTTAAGGGCCAACTCTAGGTTAATTACTTTACCCTAAGAATTTAGATGCGTTCCAAAGTAATCAATTGGTAAAACAACGCCTGCCAATTTACCAGAAAGCGTCGCTATTCCTCTCTCAACAGGATTATATTTGGATTGTCCTGGGGCATTTGTTCTTACAGTCAAATAATCCAAATTGAACTTTCGAAAAAGCAAACAATATGACTTAATGTTCTTTAAGTGTCTTGGGTTCTCGTCCGGTCTCCCGTCTACTAATAATACCCAGATTGGTCGAATTTCTCTATTAGTTTTTAACACAGCATCATATTGGGGATTTAAAGTAAGACTTTCAAGATCATGAATGTGTGTAAGTGAAGATGTACTGAGAGACCATTGGCGGCGTACAAAAATGGCAAGCTGTCCTGTTCGTAGTTCATCATTTGATTCATTTGGGTTAATTATAAGGTATACTGATGGAACTAGTTTTTGTTCAAAACCTATAGAGAAATCATGATCTGGTACACAAATAGGATCATTGATTGATTGCAATCTGTGAAATGTTCGACCTACAGCGGGCACGCCGAAACCTATCTTCGCTTTATCATCTTGAGAGATGATTATTGACATATTAGCAAAAACAGATACAAATTGTTTTGTATATTTGATGGACGCAAAACAATAGTGACTATCGGGATGTTCATGTGTCTCAGTACGTGAAACACCAGCAACTGAGACTCATGCTGGATGATGGTGTGCCTTCGCGGCAATGGAATTGGACTGGCGAGGTAATAAGTAATTATTTAATATTGTTCGTGCCATGTAGACACCATAATTCTCTTCAAGATTTTTACGTAAATTCTCTATTATCCGCACTTTAACCACTTCTTTTCGCCGCTTTTCATCAGCTGAACCAAATTCAACTAATTTATGAATATTGTCATGTAGGTGTGGATATTTAAAAAGAAGCAATGGGCGACCTGGCCGATCATATTAAATTACTTCCTGATTTTCGATGAGAAATTTTTTTTTTTTCTCTTTACAGTTTTGAACATACTTTGCATTTCTTTTTAACTTGGTGATTCTATCTTTATTAGCTTTTACTTGTTTTTGAAGCTCCTCTATTTTTGTATATATATCACATCAAAACTGAGGGTCTGTTGTAATGTTGTACATTTGCTTAAGCTCTGAAAGTCTTTCTTTAGCTATTGTGATTTCGCTTGCCGCATTTTTTTGTGCTGCTGCATTTGCTAGGATTTCAGGTATAGATTCTACTGAATAGATAGTAGGAAGGGAAGGTGCTAAACTTTCTTCAGGAATAAAATGGTTTGGTTTTATTGTTTGTATATCATATAGATTAAATGGCGTAGACAAATATGTTTTGATCATGTTGTCAATTTTCTCTGCACCTTTAGTTTTAATTTTGTTCCATTCCTGTATTGTCTCGCGGCAAACTTGAGCACGATTAGGAGTACCATTTGCTGTTTTTATCATGATTTTATATATATAAGCGTTTGAAAACTCCTGATATTTGTTTTCTGGTGATTTATAAATTAGATTTTTACTATATTTGGGGGTTAAAAAAAAAGTTTGGCGAAACGCCTTTTTTTCAGTGCCTATGCCTTGTTGGTTGCGGAAGCCATCATTTTGACTATTTGAATTGCTACCTTCATTTTGTCCACCAGAATTATAATTTTCAAATTGTTCGCTCATTTTACTTTCAACTTATGTATGAAAAAAAAATTAAAAAAAAAAAGAAAATGCAGTTTGCAAAGTATGGATGAACAGGGAACTTTTCAAAACTGATTTTTAATGCTACAAGGTATGTAGGTACGCATAGAAAATTTCTTGTTTTAGAATAAAGTGAAGCCGCTTTGCTATATAGGTTCAACAATCATGCGTTTGTTGAAGTCACAAGTAAACGTTTTGCGAATGCCGACATGCACACTATTTTAATGGGGCACGTGATAGCACTTGAAGAGTTCCAGTAATTGATAGCCAATCAGATTACTTTATTTTGGATTTAATTTTGATTGGTATCTTACCTGGGGGTGGGGGGTAGACGTTTATAGCAAATCAATATTAGGTAATATCTGTCATTGCCCTAACTATTTTTTTATATTCTAATAACACAATAGTTTCAGATTACCTAGCTAACACGTTTGATTTTAATTTTGTATTTTAAAAAATATTTATATTTATTTAAAATAATAAATTATTAAAATTATAATTAAC